GCGCGGCGCAGGCTCACCTCCACGTGGTCAACGCCAAGCTTGCCCATGCACATGGGCGCGCTTTCTATGCCAAAAATCAGGCTAAACACAGGATTGACCACGTTCTTTGTTCAGGTCAGTTTTTAAGGGGCCGCGTCTAGGGTTCGCACTCGATATGACATTGACCTCTGTGCGAAGCAACCTGACCACGTTCCAGTTCAGGTGGAATTTAAGTGGTCGCGAAATGCTTCCTCCGTGCGCTCGCCCTATCCTCGGACCGATCGATCTAAGACACAGGTTCCTGGGTTTGTTGAGGTGTTCCAAGCGAAAGTTTCTGATATCCCCGCCCCCCCTTGGAGGGTTGGAGTGAACCAGCACCTCGCTGAGGTAGTCCAGGGGCTTCATGGAGCCGCGGCCCAAGCCGTCCCGCCAGCGAAGAGGAGGGCCAGAGCGCGCTATTTGCATGCTTCCACTCTTGCTCTCATCGCCACGAGGCGCGCGGCTCAAAACGCTTTGGCTAAACGGGCTTTCGCTGGACAGGGATTTCGGGGGCGCGTTCTGAAGCGCGTTGCTGGGAGGCTGATGAGACGCGACCTGGCCGTGGAGAAGTTGTATGTGTGTGTGTGCGTGTGTGTGTGTGCGTGCGTGCGTGCGTGCGTGCGTGCGCGCGTGTGTGCGCGCGCGTGTGTGTGTGTGTGTGTGTGAGTGTGTGTGTGTGTGTGAATGTGTGTGTGTGTGTGCGTGTGTGTGTGTGTGTTTTTTGTTTTGTTTTGTCCCCCCCCTTTTTCTTCTTCTTTTCTTCTTTTTCTTCGCCTGTGAAAATCTCTCATTGGGCTGCGCCTCTGAATTCCCTGGCGCAGCCGTGTTGCACGGAGGTCTCGCCTCCAAAAAAACAATCACCCTCGGGCACTGTGAGCCCAAGCGGCGCTTGCCCCGTATCATGCGACGACGCGACACTTTTTATCGACCGTCGAGCAAGACAGGGTCGCAGCCGCCGCGCGACCTTGCCCAGGCCATGCGGGAAAGTCGGTCGTGGGATAAAGATTGCCAGCATCACCTAGGCATGAGACGCTGGGCTGTTGCAAGAGCGGGCTGCCTTCGCCCAAGTTGCCTGCCACCGGTGGCTGGCCCACAGCTGTGGGTGGCAGGTTTTCTTTCAAGGAATCCGCTGGACATAATTGGGGCTCATCCACATCGCACGGGGGTGAGCCGCGTGAATCAACGTCGCTGTTCGACGTCAATTGCTCCCCTCCTGCCGCTCTATCCCCGGCCAGGAGCGGAAGACGAACATGTTTTTCAGCCGCGCCCGAGCTGCCGACGAGGGAGCCAAAATGGTTGTTGTTTCCGACCTGGGAAAACCTCCAGTGGCAGCTGGCCTTCAAGATGGACTGTCTAGGCGTGTAGTCAGAGAATATTGGCTGCGGTGGCTCATCACTCAGAAAGTATTCACGTGTTTGCTGGCCAGCAAACATCAACGTCTTCCTCGCTTCTCTGGGGGCGATCGAACCTTTGGACTGCACCAGGTCGGGGCCATATGAGCCAGCTCGATCTTGGCTACCTCCTCCTTTGTCTCCTGCGAAGACATTGGTTCCTGCGTCGCTTTCACCTGCAGCGGCTGCGCGCCGGGAACTTCGATGACCTCCGCTGTGAGACTGACTGCTGGACCTGGTATGTACTCCGCCTGCGTCAGCGGCTGAGTCGGCGACATCTCGTGCAGTGGTGGTCTCTCCATTCTCCATCTTCATGACGTCCTGGTATAGGTCATTGGCTGGCGCCCTCGGCGTGGCTGCCGCTGGCGAAGAAAGCGGTGACCTGCCCCCCTCTTGATGGTGGATGCCTTCGGCGTACTCGGCACTGGGGTGTCGGTGCCCATCATCGGCGCCACGGGAGCAGGTGTCGACGGCGCAGGGGGGCCCTGCTCCACCACCCCCCGAGAGAAAAAGTTGTCCTCGACCATCTGCTGCTCCAGCTGTTTCTGGCGCTGGCCCTCCTGGTACTGGAACTGCTGCCGGTGGTGCAACGCTCCCTGGTACTGGAACTGCTGCCGCTGGTACAGCTCCCCCTGGTACTGGAACTGCTGCTTGCGCTTGAGCCCTTGCTATCTGGGCCTGCTGGTACATAAGCTCCTGGTGCAGCGCTGGGTGCATGGCTGGCGGCATAACTGGCGCTGCTGGTGGAGGCGCCACATGCGGTGTTCCCTCTGGCTGGGGGTCCGCCTGCTGCGGGTAGCAACCTGGTACCACCCCTGTCGTCTCCATGCCCTGCTGGTGCATCTGATGCTGCGCGGGCTGGTAGTACTGCTGCTGGATCTGGAACTGCTGAACGACCTGCCTCTCGAACTCGTTCTGACGATTGGCCATTCCGACCAACAAGCCCCTGAGTTTGTTCATCTGGTCGCCTTGCAGCGGCGGCGGGGGCGCCTGCTGTCCAGGTTGGTGCTGCGGCGGCTGCGCGTGCTGCTGCGGCAAGCCCCCAAATACACCACCTGGCGCTTGCTGCTGCTGGGCCACGTCTGCGAGGTGCTCTTCCTCCTGCATCTCCCTTATCTCCCTCAAGCACTCCTGGTACTGGGCGATCTCGTTGTTGATGTCCGTCTCGTGTGCCTCGAGTTCTCGAATACGCCCTTGTGTATTTGTTTGCCTCTCGCTTGCTCCATCCAGCTTGGCCTGGTACTCTTTGGCCTGCTGCTGTAGAGGCATCGTCGATTGTGCCATGCACTTGTGAACTGCTATCTTCCTGTCGTGCAGGTTGGCAAGGTCCACTTCGCTGGCACGACGAGCAGTGAGAGCCAACATCGCCAAGTCATCGATCTGCCTTCGGATCTCCGTCCTGTACTGGTACTGATCCGCACTGGTCTCTGGCGGCGGCTTGTAGCACTGCTCCTGTTGAGCCTCCTCCTTGGTGAGCGGTGGGACCCTGGCCACGTCGGCGCGGATGTCCTTGTCCGCAATTATCGTCCTGCTTGGCGGTCTTGTCCGATGCGATGTCGCACCTTTGCCGCCCTTGTCGAAGCCACAGAACCTGCCACCTCCATGTCCCTTGGCTCCGTGCCCCTTGTCTTGCATCGATTGGGGCATGCCGTCGTGGTATCTCTGGCCACAAAAACACTGAGCGTGATGCTTTACATATCGTCCACACCTTGGACAGTCCCATGTGGGAATCCATCCTCTCATATCAAGCACTTTGCTGTTGTCAGGATATGGTGCCGAATGATGCGACGCTAGCTCAAGGTATGCTCTATGAAGCGATACCAGCACTCTGGCGTCGTGTCGTCGCTGCCGAGCCCTCCGATGTGATGTTCCCTGCTCACCGCGCGCCGTGGCCAGGGCGCGCAGAAGGCAGCAATCGCGGGCCCGAGACGCGGCACGAACTGGTGTGCGCGACGGGGTTCGGCCGAGAAAAATCCCTGTGCTCAGGCCAAACCCTCTCCTCCTCCTCCTCCTCCTCCTCCTCCTCCTCCTCCTCCTCCTCCTCCTCCTCTCCTCCTCCTCCTCCTCCTCCTCCTCCTCCTCCTCCTCCCCTCCCCCTCCCCCTCCCCCCTCCTGCTCCTCCTCCTCCTCCATTCTCCTCCTCCCCCACCTCCTCCTCCTCCTCCTCCTCCTCCTCCTCCTCCTCCTCTCCAGAGGCCTCCGCAGGGGGCTCTGGCTGGCCTGCAGGAACCCCGGAGCCTCGCAGTGGGCCAGAGGCACCCTCAAATCTCCGACGAAATGTCTTTCCAATCCCGGCGCGTTTCCTCGCGTTCGGCCGCTGGGGGCCAGTGCCGGGCCTGGGGAGCATCAGACATGGATCCAGGACGACAGCCTAGGTCTGCGCTGGATCGGATCGCGAAGTCGGATCGGATCGTGAGCGGATCGAATCGCCAACGAATCGTGTCGAATCTGATCATCATCGAATCGCCGCGCCCGGCTTCCGGCTGGCCTTGGCCGATGCTGGTGTCTAATAAAGCCGGATCGCATCGAGTCGCATCGAATCGGATCGTATGCCCTGCAATCTGCCCCCGGCGAAAGGGGTCGGCACCTCCAGGGCCGCGGACTTGGACGAGCGCGTTCCGCTACTCGCAAAGTAACTACTCGCAAATGGCCTGGATCCGCCGCGGGGGATCCCCGATCAATCTCATCGAAGCGAACCTATGTTTTTCGTACGTTCGCGAGTAGGCACTTTGCGAGTAGTGGAACGCGCCTGGTGAGACAGAACCAATCATTCCGTCGGATGTCTGGGGGCTGGTGGCATCCCAGAGCCTCGACCGCGGGGCCGCCCTCGAGGCAGGGGCCCCCGCCAGGCCCCGAGGGGGCCGAGGGCCCCCCCGCGCGGCCGAGGCAGGGGCCGCTGGCGCCCCCGCGGCGGTACCTCCTCCTCCTCCTCCTCCTCCTCCTCCTCCTCCTCCTCCTCCTCCTCCTCCTCCTCCTCCTCCTCCTCCTCCTCCTCCTCCTCCTCCCCTCCTCCTCCTCCTCCTCCTCCTCCTCCTCCTCCTCCTCCTCCTCCTCCTCCTCCTCCTCCTCCTCCTCCTCCACCTCCTCCTCCTCCTCCTCCTCCCTCCTCCTCCTCCTCCTCCTCCTCCTCCTCCTCCTCCTCCTCCTCCCCCTCCCCCTCCTCCCCCTCCCCTCCTCCTCCTCCTCCTCCTCCTCCTCCTCCTCCTCCTCCTCCTCCTCCTCTCCTCCTCCTCCTCCTCCTCCTCCTCCTCCTCCTCCTCCTCCTCCTCCTCCTCCTCCTCCTCCTCCTCCTCCTCCTCCTCCTCCTCCTCCTCCTCCTCCTCCTCTCCTCCCCTCCCCCTCCCCCCCCCTCCCCCTCCCCCCCCTCCCCCTCCCCCTCCCCCTCCCCCTCCTCCCCCTCCCCCCCTCCTCCTCCTCCTCCTCCTCCTCCTCCTCCCCTCCTCCTCCTCCTCCTCCTCCTCCTCCTCCTCCTCCTCCCCTCCTCCTCCTCCTCCTCCTCCTCCTCCTCCTCCTCCTCCTCCTCCTCCTCCTCCTCCTCCTCCTCGCGTGCGCCGCTCGCGAGGTGCGACTCCTCCCCCTCTCTCGGGGTACACGTCGGCGCGGTGGTCGTAGGCGCTCCCGGACAGCACCTCGGGCGCCATCCTCGGGGGCGTCCATGTAAAACTAGGTCGGGCATGTCCCCCATACAGGTGGATTTTAGGCGAGAAATAAAAGAGTCAACAAGCATCAATAAAGAATCAAAGATGGTCGGAAAATCGTCCTTGTACTATTTCTGACTATTCCTGAATATTCCTCCCGTAGAGGGCCGTGCTCGACTTAGATGCAAGAGGGGGGCTTCGCCGAGCTGGGCCCGAGGCGCGTGCGCGGACCAGCGGGGGGAGAAGGGGCCAAGGGGCAACCGACGCGGCGGAAGCGGAGGAGGGGGCCAGGACATCCAGGGAGCTATCGTGGCCCCGGCCATGGTACACAAGATACCCATCTTGTGACTTTCGATGGAGGAGGAGGAGGAGGAGGAGGAGGAGGAGGATTTTCGATTGATCCTCATCCAAATTTGTCCTCGTCTCGGCCTAGTATTGAGGAGGAGGAGGAGGAGAAGCACGATGAGGATTCTTATTCGACGCAAAAAGCACCGCACGGCAGACTTCAGGAGATACAGAGGAGGCCCGTCCACAAGAAACCTTCCACAAGAAACCGAACCCTGCGACCCCAGGACGTCCGTGGACTTTTGGTGTGGGAGCGTCGCGCTCTCCATGGCAAAAGCATGGGAAAGCCCAAGAAACCCAGGGCACCCTGGAGGCAAGCAGGGTGTTTCTTGGCATGGGTCTCCAATATAGAACGAGGGGTCCATGATATCCGGGGAGCTATCGCGGCCCCGGCCATGGTATGCCTCCCCCCCATGCCCGCCCTGGCCACAGCGGAGTCATTTCTCTCGCCCGCCCGCGCGCATCCGCCTCGCCCGCATGCCCGGCACGAACCCGAAACCGAAACCGATCTCCCGGTGGGGGGCTCTCTGTTCCGCTCGGCTTCGCTCTCGCCTCCCGACTTTGGCTCCCCCTCCCCTAGCCCTGACGTAGGGGGATGCGAAGGCCCTGGCGACGGGACGGGGGGGGGCACGAGCGGGCATTGTAGCCGGCTCAAACATCAAAAGAGGCACCAGAGCCTCAACATTGAAATTCTAGACTGATCCACTCACGGATCCAAGTCGAATTACTGCATCATGGACTTCAATACATGCGTAGCGTTAGGTCGGGCATGTCCCCCTACAGGGGGCCTCTGGACGAAAAATAACAGATACGCAAAACGTACTCCAAGCAAAAGCAGAAACAGTGAAGAAATCGTCCCCAAACTCTTTTTTGACTATGCTTGAGCACTCCTCCGGGAGAGGCACACGCCCGACTTAAACAGCGCAGCACGCTCTCCCCTCCTTGGCCGCCCCCGACGTCCACAGGTACGTGCCCAGGCCACGGGTCAGCTGCCCCGCCTCCGAAGGCGGGGGCCCCTCCTCGGCCGCGGGCGCCGCGGGCATGTGGCGCGAGAGGCCGAAGTCCGCGATCTTCGCGCAGGGCGCCTCGCCCGAGGCGCCCACCTGTGCGAGGAATCGGCGGCGAGCGCGGGGGGGGGCGCCAGAAGGGGCGGGCCTCCTCGGAAGGCTCAGAAGTCCCCGGGCCTTCTGAGACGTCTTCCAGGCCTGCCCCGAAGACACAGCCAGAAAAGCTCTCAGGAGGCGCGAGGGCTTCTGAGAAGTCCCGCCGCCTTCCGAGAAGGCCTTTTCCTTCTGAGAGAGGAAGCCATGGCAGGGATGCCATCGGACCAGGACAGATCGGGGATCTCTGCGATCCGGCGGTTCTGGAGGGTGCATCGGGCGCCGCGGCCGTTCCAGAGCGCTCTGGAGCGCCCTGAGAGCATCCTGGCACGCTCTGAAGCGATGCACCCCTGTCCTGTGCGCCCGAGGCCCCGAGATCTTGGCGTCGCGTTGTTTTGTTCCGCAGCCGGCGAACCTGCCGTGTCTCGGGCCCCGGGGCCATCACAGGTCGACTTCTGCTCGAGAGCTGCCGTGGAGAGACGGGGTCCAGGGCTCGGGTCGTGATTTCGTCGCGATGGTTGCAACTGTTTTACCACGGCAGACTTCAGGAGATACAGAGGAGGCCCGCTCACAAGAAACCTTCCACAAGAAACCGAACACTGAGACACCAGGGCGTCCGTGGACTTTTGGTGCGGGAGCGTCGCGCTCTCCATGGCAAAACCATCGAAATCCAAGAAACCCAGGGCACCCTGGAGGCAAGCAGGGCGGCTCTTGGCATGGGCCCCCACTGTAGGGCTCGGGTCGTGCTTGTGAGCGTTTTTAAATTCGGCGTTTCGACATTGGGCTCCTGACCTCTGCTTAGTGCGACTGTTTGCAGGAAGGCGTCCATCATGGGGGAGGCTCCACCCGCTCGAAACAGGCGCCAAAACCAGCCAAGATCTACTCCCAGGGGGGGGGGGGATGGGGGGGCGCGAGGGCCCGCGCCGACCGGCAAAACAATGCATAAAACAACGCTCACGAGCAAAGCTCTGGGGCTGGGGTCTTGCTTCGTCGCGATGCCGCAGCTTGCTCGCAACGCAGGACCCCAGGGGAAGCGCGGCAGGGCCAGGCGAGGCAGCCGAGAGGCGGAACGCGCGCGGGGCCAGGCCCTGCCGCAGGTCGGGCGGCTGCCCTAGGGGCGCGTGCTTGCGGAATCAGGGGGAGACGCTCGGCCTTCAGGGTGACTCGGTCGATGGGCCCTGGGCTCCGAGAAAGGCAGCGGCAGCAAGCGTCCCTTCGAGACTCGATACCTGTCCACTGAGGGGCAACGACAGGGGGGGCTGGCGTAGGGGCGGATGCATCGACCTGAAATCGGCGACACATCGCCGATAGGTCGGCGATAGGCCCCGATGATGAATCCGCACCTTCCTGGGCGGGGAGGAGCTATCGGGCCCATATCGGCGATCAATGGGCGATTGGGGATCGATGCATCCCCCCCTATGCGTATCCCCCCCTATCGTTGCCCCTGGTCCACCCTTCACCCCCGACAGACAGCTGCACCGAGGTCCGTCTGCTGTGCCTGGGCCCCACGAGCCTCGGCCGCCAAGAGCACGTTGAGGGACTTCAAGTCTCGGTGGATGACACCTCGACGGTGGAGGTAGAGCATGCCCTTGGCAATGTCCAGTGCCACCTTGCGCAAGAGAGACCATCATCGAATCGATAAGTCGGATCGGCGATCGAAATGAATCGGATCGGCGGGAAGCGGCACCCGAGTATGGAGAAGTCGAATCGGCGGCAATCGGCAGGCTAGTATGCCTCCATTAAAGAATCGGAGTCCAAGTCGGAATCCGAAGTCAAATCGAATCGGAATCGGAAGCCATCGAAATCGAATCGAATCGGAGGAATCGGAACGAGCCCTGACCTTGCGACGCTTCTCCCAAGAGAATGCTGGCTTCGGCCTCTCGTGCAGCAAGCGGAACAAGGTACCGCCCGCGCAGAACTCACAGATGATCATAGGCGGGCTGGCCACGACCGCTCCCATGAAGAGCACAAGATTCGGATGCCTGAGCTCGTGCAACATGTGGAGTTCTTTCTCGAACTGTGCCCGCGCGCAGACCCGCAATCGCTTGACCGCCACCTCGTGAGGTGGAGCCAATGTCCCGGACAAGTTGAAAGCCCAGTAAAACGAACGCCTGGTATTGGCCCTCCATAGCCAGTTGTCCAACATATCAAGGACTGAGTATCGTGCAACCGATCCCCATCCCCAGTGGCGTGGCCTGGGCCCCACTTGCCGATTTACCCCCCTAGATGGGGATATAGGCCGTTCCCTCCAGGCTTCGAGGGGTGTATCCCCAACTGGGGAGGTAACTTGGTGGGGGTCTCGCAAGGGATGGGGATGGGGATTGGTCAAACGATACCGAAGGACACCCCAGCCGGCGAACTGAAAGCTTACTCCCCGACCCCGCACCAGCCGAGCGCCGAGGGGCGAGCACACATACGGGCGCAGCACATCACGCCCGAGGAGCGATCTCCGAGCACGGACAGCAGTGATGCAACCGATGTCAAGTACAGACTGCACCCTCGCGGCAAACAACCCTGAAGAACGCACTCACGGATAACATGGGAGGCCTGGAAATGGGCACCAACACCAACACAGGGGGGTGCCTCCACAGGGGGAAAGTGATCCCACATTTCGGTGTTGGCGGTAGTCACCTTGGAATCCGGAATATTACCACCATCACCGAGATCGGGGTCTTCGTCCCTCGGTGGAGGCACACCGCCGATATTGGTGTTGGTGTCAACCTCGAGGCCTGCCACAGGGAGATCATATGGGAGACCATCAAGGCACGAAATCTGGGGCAGGCAACGGGCAGTCAAGCTGCGCAAGGAACATTTAGGCGGGTGCCAACTGTCGCTTTTCCAACGAAGGCCTGAGTAGATTCCTTCGGTGAAACCTGACGACTGCATTCGTAGAGCAGGAAAACGCTGGCGTGAGCATCGACTTTCGGAGGTCCGCGCGGATGAAGCAAGTGCGTACACACACTGTCGGAGGTCCGCGCGGATTTCTTGTGTGGGCGCCGGCCCCCCCGTCCCCGCACCCCTGCCCTGGCGCGCGGAGCGCACCGTCCGGCGCCGACACAAGAAATATGCGCGGACCTCCGAAAGTGCATGCTCATGTCCTTGCTTCGTCTTCGATGTGCACTTTCGGGCGTGGTCCGAGCCTCCGTGCCGTGCCACAACGCGCGGTGCACCTCGGCGGTGGCCCCGGCGCCCAGGCACTCCCTGAGCAGCAACTCGGAGGCGCCCACCTCCCATGCAGGCCGCGGGCAGGCCTGAGGTGCAGACGGAGGGGCCTTCATGTGGTTTCCCCAAATAAGGGAGAGGGCCAAGTGTTACATGCCCCAAAAGGGGCAGAGGATCATGATAACTCGTCGGAAGAGGAAGGAAGAAGGAAACGGGGGGCAAGCAGGAAGGAGGACGAGGAGGAGGAGGAGGAGGAGGAGGAAGAAGAGGGGGAGGAGGAGGAGGAAGAAGAGGGGGAGGGAAGGAGGAGAAGCAGTGGCCAACAAGAAGAGGGGCAGAGAAAGGAAATCTGACGACCCGCAAAGAGAAGACCAGCGGGATACAGAAACCGAAAGGATGAAGTCCGCTGCCCTTCAAGAGGGCTATCCCGACACCAGACAGAGAGGCAAGCCACACGCGATATACAAGGAGGAGGAGGAGGGGATGATGATGATGACGATGATGATGAGGAGGAGGAGGAGGAGGAAGAGGTAAGAGGAGGCGGGAGAGGAGGATGAGGCTGGGGAGGAGATTTAGACTTAGACATGGGCATCCTTGGGCGAACACAAACTGAATGACCTGACTGCTGAAACCGCTGGGCGGCATTCCCGGATGGCTGCTCGTCTACACCACAGCGGCACTGGCGGAAGGCACCCGGGCACCCCAGCGACCCGAGAGAGGTGAGCACAGGGTGTTAGCGTGGCGGCCCATCACCTCTTTATCCGAGGCGATGCGGTCGCCCAGGTGCCCAACCCGTGCAGCGTGGGACCCCCGACGGCACCCCACACTGCAGGGCAAGGCACCCCGAACAACACCCATCCCCCCTTCTGCTCGGGGGGGGGGGGGCGGGGGCGATTTCATCCCCCCTACTTCTACTCTTGCCTTCCGTCTCCCCGTAGAACGCGGCTGAACTTTTGCCGCAGGGATATTACGGCCCTGGGGATCCTCTAAAGCTTGCTACGCCACAGGGGAAGCGATGGAGGCTGGGGCCGGCTTCCCATGCACAACCCCGCGGGCCATTCACTCTCCGAGTCTCTCGCTGCCCGCTAGGTTCGGAACCCTCCTTCCCGCGTCAGGCCCTACTTGGGCTCGAGCTCCTGCAACGCACACCCCGCGCGCCTCTCTCCAAGACACCTCGCGGCGCCGCCCAGGGCCGTGATCCCCCCCCGCCCAGGCGAACTACTTCGGAGCGCAGCACCTTGTCGAGCTCCACCCCTATGTTCTCCGTCGACAGCGCCCACTGCAACCGTACTTTGCCCTCCATGTGCTTGGGTCTCTTCTTGGCCACCTCGCGCTGCGGGGCGCGCGCGCCGCGCGGTGCTTGCTGTCCGCGGCCCCCCGTGCGCGCTCGTACTTCATGCTGTAGTTCCCCTGAGAGTCGGCCATGATCTCCCGCTCTCGGCCTTCAGCGCTACCCGCGAGGCGCGCGCGCGAAGTCCTTCCGTGCGCGCGGGCGAAGGCTGCCCAGGGCCGCCTCGTCCACCTCGGGGTCGTTCTTGGCGTCCTCCCGCAGCTGCCTCGCCGCCTCGCGGCGGCCCCGGCCCGCGTTGACCGCCGCCTCTGCGCGCGCCGACGCTGCCGGCGCGCGCGCCGCGACCCGGGCCGCGCTGAGAATAATGACGAGCTGCTGCGCGCTCTGCCCCATCGGTAGCTCCTCGCCAAGCGGCCCCTTCGGCCGCCTCGATGACCCCCCCACCTTCGCCTTCTTGGCGTCGCCCGCGGCCCCGCCAGGCGCGGCTGGCAGCGCGCCCTTGCGGAGTGCCCGTGATGGTTATTTGATCCCCGCGGCCTTCACCCCCTCGGTTTCTTCCACGCGCGCGGCGTGGATTCTCGCCCGCTGTTGCAAGCGCGCAGATATCAGGCACGCGCGGAAGACGGCGAACACGATGCGATCTCAGCTCGAGCCAAGATCCCGCCGCATGCTCGAACCCAGGGCAGCTCAGCGTTTTGGGTTCCTGCGCTGGGGGAAAGGCCCGAGCGGGGTCGACGACGCAGTATCGCTGCCGTAGCGACCGGGCGAGGTGTCGACGGGCAGCGGCCTCCGAAGCGAAAGCTGTCTCGCGCGCAATGCGCGCTGATGGGGGTTATGGAACGAGCAGACATGCAGTATATGGCGTACTTGGCGCGCATGTGTTGGCAGAGCCTTTTTTGAATAGAACTGGCTTCCACGCCGCGTGCCCCCCACTTCCACCTAGCAAGAACATGCCCCCTCCGCCCCGCGCGTGGGTCTGACTGGCATGCGCGTTGGGGGCTGGATATTACTATCGGGCTCTCTTTCGCGGAAGATGCCGACATCTATCTCACAGACTAACTCTCCTCTCATGGGCCACGGTGCGCGGCCAATCGACCTCTCTGCATCTGAATGCCTCGTCAGAACAGTCCACGAGCGCGCCCGCGTCGCCCTGGACCTTCCCGGCCCGCGGGCTGGCGCAGCTGCCCAGGGGGGATCGTCGTCTGCCGCTGCGTTCAGCGCCGGGCCCTCGATCGCGCCGAAGAGCGCTCCGAAGAACTGGGCGTTGTTGTTGCTCTCGGCTGCCTCCTGCTGCAGCCGGCCGAGCCGCCCCGCGCGCCGCTCGACCTCTGCTCTCGCGATCCCCCAGCGCGCGAAGACCTCCTGGTTTGCCGCGGATCGCACCGCCCCGCCCGCGCTCCATGCGCAAGATTTTCCTCGCGCGGCCACTCTCTGCAGCGACGCCGCCGGGTCGCCGATGCCTCGCGCTCTCTCCGCGGGGATTAAGGCCTCCGCCGCTGACGGGGCTGCATTGACCACTCCCCCCGGCAGCGGCGCCCCCCCACCTCCGCGGTGCCCTTGCACTTCAGAAAGAACCAGTCGAATAGAAAACCGCGGTATCCTTGCACTTCAGAAAGAATCAATCGAATATGAAGCGGCGGTATCCTTGCATTTCAGGAAGAACCAGTCGAATAGAAAGCAGCAGTACCCTTGCACTTCAGAACCAATCGAAAAGAAAGCCACTCTAATAATAATTGTTCCCTCGTACCCACGCACTGTCCGGCGCATCCAAACCGCGCGCGGTCGTGCCGATCGCCTACTTATCCCTGTTCTGGGTCAATCCGATGGCGGTGAAGGTCTCGTCCGTGATTGTATCGCAGTCCTGCATCTTCTCGCGCAGCTAATCCAAAGTCGACTGTCTCCCGTGAGGGCGGGGGGGGCAGCGGCACCTTCTTGTCGATAGATTCCATCGGAGCACAAGTGGATGTTCGGATCGACCTGTCTGCGTGCGGACAAGGCATTTCAGAGCCGCTCTGCTGTCCGCGCAACCCCCCTCACGGCGCCGCGACATCCGCGGCCCCATTGCCTGAACAAGGGCACGGGGGGAGCTGCGCGCCGTGAGCGGGCCCGCCGCGAGGCCTTCCCTCCGCCAGCCTGAACTCCTAAATGCCTTCTGCTGCTGGTGCTTGGACTTGCGCGCGTCGAATGCGTTGCAGTGCGAAGCGACGGCCCCGCTCGCGAGCCAAGTGCTCCGCTGCTTTCTCCATGTTGTTCCAATTCGCCGATGGGCGCGCGCTGCTCGCGCCCTTGGAGCTCTCTCTGCGAAAGCGACTTGTAGTTGCCTTGGGTTGTACGCCGCCATCATGGATGCCAAGGTCGCCGCCACTCGCCCCCCACCCCTCGCGCGCCCGCGGTGCTCTTGCGGGCGCGGCCCTGGCCGTCGCGCCCCGATGAAGCTACCGAAGAAGCCCTTGCCTCGAGCGCGCAGGAGACGCAGTGGCCAACGCCCTGTTGGTCCAAGTTGCTCATTCTTCTTTGGCGGGTAGAACTCACTTACGCGCCATTTGACCGGCGCGATTCGATGGCGCCGAAAGCTGCAGAAATCCATATAGAGACGCGCCTCGATGTAGCCATTGTCCGCGCCACGCAGGCCCGCGCCCACCCCGGCGCATGTAGGGTCTCGCTGTGGGTGCGCAATCACCCAATAGAGCTCCGCCGGTGGCAGCGCTGCCGGGCGCGCCTTCCGCTTCGGGGCCCTGCAGAGGCGCCCCAGACGCTCGGTGCCCCTTTTGTTTCCCAAGGACGCGCCCGTAGCGCGATCGTCGACGAACTACGGATGTTGGCCAGGGCCATCTGTCATATGACCCAAGGATCTGGTCTGCGAGGCAGTTCGCCAGGCGCGTTTTTGCATTCGATACCGCCCTTGCCTGCTGGAGCCATCGGCATCTCGATCGCGCCCGGCCCTCCATCACTGCGCCGTTTTTTCTCTTGCGCGGGGGGGGGGGGGGGGGCGGGCGCCCGCATTCGCTCGTTCTTCGTCAGATTCGCCACGGGCAATGCTCGAAAGTCTCGTCTCGCGGTCTTCCCTGGCCTGAACGTTGTCCTGCATGCTTGAGAAGCACGCCTTTCCTCTTACCTCTTACTGTTTACGAATATCCTCTGAAGTCGCCTCTCTAATCTGCCGCCGTGCCAACTGGCGAACTCTGCCACGCTCCCGAACAAGAGTTTCGCGCAGAACTTCGACTTGCTGCTCGGTAGCTTCTGTCGCCCACGTCGCCCCCTGCAGATCTCTTCTCTGCCGTGGAATTGCCAACCTCTGTCATCGAAACTGTCGATGCTCATCGCTCACAAGAAAGAGGTTCCATAACAAGTCTTTAGCTGCGTTGACCATCGTCTCTTCCAGGTACCCAGAAAAGACATCTGGAGTCAAGTGCAACCCCAGTTGCACCCGCTGCTCCATCTGTTCATGCAGAACGCCACTCAACTCTGTTTAAATACTTGTGCTTATGGTTTTATGCCTGGGTGCGCGCGCCAATGACTAGATGCTCCACTTCTCTCTGGTCTGTTCAATACATTGATCGTCGCACGCGGCCGACCTGTCGTGCACGATGCGAGCGCGCACTGGCACATGGCCCCGAAGCCATCGATCTGGGATCGCTTGCAGCCGCCTGCCCAGCTTTAGAGGCGGGGCGAACCCATCGCGCGCATCCTTCCACCCCACAGGCCCGATGACGTAGCCAATCCTCGACGTCTCTCCATTGTGACCAAGCCGCGTAGGCTCGCTCGTGTCATTGAGCGCCGCCATGTGATGCCGTGCCA